TTTCATGTTAATCAATATTCCAACTTACTTTTCCATCTTAATTTCATGTTAGTCAATATTCCAACTTACTTTTCCATCTTAATTTTATGTTAATCAATATTCCAACTTGCTTTCATGTTAATCAATATTCCAACTTACTTTTCTATTTTATTTTCATGTTAATCAATATTCCAACTTACTTTTCTATTTTATTTTCATGTTAATCAATATTCCAACTTACTTTTCTATTTTAATTTCATATTAATGAATATTCCAACTTACTTTTTGATTTTAATTTCATGTTAATCAATATTCCAACTTACTTTTCTATTTTAATTTCATGTTAATCAATATTCCAACTTACTTTTCTATTTTAATTTCATGTTAATCAATATTACAACTTACTTTCATGTTAATCAATATTCCAACTTACTTTTCCGTTTACTTTTTGAAATTCAAACATTTTTCTACTTTTTCTTTCATTTTGCTTATTTTTTTAGGTTATATGGAACTTACAATTAAACCTTAATTTCAAAACTTACAATTTCTCTAATTTCGTTAATGTTGTGCCATATTCCTCTACAGTGTTTGCTTCCCAAAAAGTTATAAACTGTCTCTGTATCACCCTTTCTCAATTTGCTCTTTAAATTTTTCTCATATATATTTTTTCCTATCTGAAATTTTAATCGTGAAAGCCAGACTTTTCCTTCTGCTTTTTCTATATATATTTTCCTAGCTGAAATTTGAAATGTAAAAATCAAGTTTCTCCTTTTCATTTTCTATTCATTTTTCTCTGAAGTTCGAACTATAAATGCCAAACTATTCCTTTCTCCTCTCATGTTTACCTCTTTACTTATGTTTCTATAATTGTAAGATTTGTAAGTCTTTCTGACCACGACACCTCTTTACTTATGTTTCTATAATTGTAAGATTTGTAAGTCTTTCTGACCACGACACCTCTTTACTTATGTTTCTATAATTGTAAGATTTGTAAGTCTTTCTGACCACGACACCTCTTTACTTATGTTTCTATAATTGTAAGATTTGTAAGTCTTTCTGACCACGACACCTCTTTACTTATGTTTCTATAATTGTAAGATTTGTAAGTCTTTCTGACCACGACACCTCTTTACTTATGTTTCTATAATTGTAAGATTTGTAAATCTTTCTGACCACGACACCTCTTTACTTATGTTTCTATAATTGTACAATT